AAACTCACCAGCCACTCCTTAGAAACTCTATATAGAGTCATTGTGAGTCAAAACCAACTCAAGAGCACTTAACAACAACCAAAGCTTGATCCAAGAAGTCTTGGTGGTGCAGTGGGTTAGGCAATAGGTTGCTAATGAAATCAGTGGTTAAAATCCACCAGAAGGTCCGTGGGAAAAAAACGATGTAGTCTGCTTCTGTAAAGATTTACAGCATTAGAAACTTTATGGAGCAATTCTACTCAGTCCTATAGGGTCTCAATGAATCAGAATCAACTCAAAGGCAATGAGTTGACATAAGACCATAGGTGGAATTCTGAATTGCATCCAGAATCTTCTGAGGTGGGAAATTTCCACTTGAAAGGATAAGCCCACCAGCCTGGAGTGGCTAGAAGAACAAAAGATATACTTCTTGAAAGAAAGACCGATAGGAAAAATAGAAAATATAGGCAGTCTGACTGATTACTCTACAAGAACAAACAAGTTGCTCGTCCAGGAGATAACAAGGCAAGTGGTCGGGTCCCCTCAGGAAAACCCCCTTCCAAGACTAAGACTCAATGGGTATACATGCTCTGATTGGTGACCACGTTCATCACTGATACAGGGAAGTGAGGGAAAAACAACAATGAAGCTGCTAGCTAAGCTCTAAAACGTTCAACAGACTCCTGGGAACCCAGGTGGAGACCTGGTTGGCCAGCAGTGTGGCAAGACCTAGGGACTCTTGGGCCTAGAGTCAGTGACATAGCCACAGAGGACTAGAGTGGCGAGTGAAGCGTACAGCTGATAAGAAGAGAGGGCATATGCTAAGAACACCCACACATGCAGATAATAACCAATTGACCTGGCTTCGATGACTGCATGATCAGAGCCCAACTAGAAGAAGAAAGAAGAGGGGAAAAAAGAGTAATCTGATACAATTTGATGAACTTGACCTATACCTATGGATGCAGTAGCTCAAAAAAGTGGACAAATCTTTACAGTGAGGATCATTCCCACCCCCTCCATACACAGAGTAGACATGGATGGGCAACTTGGACACTGGCTACCCAAAATGGGGAGGAGGGGTGCTACAAAGGCAAGAAGTGACTGGCTTACAAGCTTTCAAAATGGAGCCTAGATCCAGAGGCTGTGGAGGAAGGTAAAATCTCCACTGAGTAGTATCCAATCTGTCTAGGCGGGGATGATGAAAGGAGATGCAGGTAGGTCTCTTGTGATACAGCAGTGAATAATTGTTAACTGGACTGATTGTGAGGGCTGGAAATGTAAAGGTAGACGTTTTAAAGCAAAAGGAGGGGAGTGATAGACTTTGCAATCTAGGAGCAGAGGTCCCTGTGACCATCAAGGGAAAAGAGCGGAGAGCAAGGACCCTGTCCAGAGAAGAAGTGACGCCAGAGATGGTTGCAGAGACAATGACGTGGAAAGATGGAGCGGCTGGGGACTTTAGACCCAGAGAGGGAGAGGAACTGTGTGTTGATGGGGGGGATGGGGGGGGGCAGGCTTGCAGGGTATACCCTTTGGATGGTTGATGATGCATGGAGGGGACTGTAACCACAGCAATGAAACAATATACGATAGCATGAATGCAAAGCTAATATTCTCCCATGTAAACTATCACATAATTCACAATAAAATATATATTTAAAAAAAGGCAATGAGTTTGATTTGGTTTAAGGTTGCCCTTATTTTTTTCATCACTGATCTTTAGAATTTTAGGTTCTACCTTTAGGTCTCTGATCCATCTTGAGTTCATTTTTGTATATGATGAAAAAGATATGGATCCTGCTTTAATTTTTTCTACCAATGGATATCCAATTTTGTCAGCACCATTAGGAGCTCTGGTAGTGTAGTGGTTATGAATTGGGCTGCTAACTGCAAGGTCAACAGTTTGAAACTACCAGCTGTTGCATGGGAGAAAGATGAGGCTTTCTGCTCCCGTAAAGATTTACAGCCTCGAAAACCCTGTGCAGGGCCACTAACGAGTCAGAAACGACTCCATGGTACTTAACAACAATTTGGACTCCTGGTGTGTTACTGTACAATCAGCACTGAGAACTACAAGGTTGGTAGTTCAAACCTACCAGCTGCTCCTTGAAAAACCTATATAGGGTTGCCTTGAGTCAGTACCCACTCGACAGAAGTCAGAATCTACTCGACAGAACTTAACAACAACATTTGTTAAAGAGACTATCCCTTTCCCATTTATGGAATTAGGCCCTTTGTCAAAGATGACCTGTCCAATGGTGGATGATTTTATTTCTGGGTTCTGAATTCTGTTCCAGTTGTTATGCTTCTGTCATTGTACCAGTACCAGGTATTTTGACTACGATGACAGTGCAGTTGGTACTGAGGCTGGGAAATCTGAGGCCTCCCTGCTTATCTGGGATCTCTTTCCTTTCCATGTAAAGTTGGTTATTTGTTTTTCCATCTCTTTAAAGAATGTTGATGGAATATGGATTGGGAATGCATTATATCTGTAGATTGATCTGGGTAGAAATGGTATTTTCACAATGTTACATCTTCTTGTGGCACTGTTGGATTAGCATTGGACTCTGAACCACAAGATCAGCAGTCCAAAACTACCGGCTGCTTCTTGGAAACCCTACACAGGGTCACTGTAAGTCAGAACTGACTTGATGACACTTAATAAAAACAAAAAATCGTGTCTGAGAGATTGGGGTATTATTGTATGTGTTTGTTGATTGTATATTCTTTTGTTTCATCTTGAATTTTAGTTTTGTCTTATTTTGATATATCTAGGCAGTCTGGGCCGGTATACTACTCTAGCCACTAGTTTGGCAGCATTGAAGCACTCATTGTCTGTGTCCAGATGGGTAGGGTAGAAGGTGGGAGTGTGGGCACAGATTTGGTCACTGGTCATGTAGAACAGCTGAGGGAAGGCTGGGCAGGTGTTGACCATCACCTGTTGCTAATCCACTCGTGCAGGAGTGAGTGGCAGCACTGGTTCAGTAGGTTGGGTGGCAGGTAAGGAGGGTGTGGCTAGCTAGTGGGGCCATGGTAGTTAACTCCCATGTTGCTGCTGTTGTTGTTATGCATGGCTGAGTTAATACCAACTCATAGCAACCCTGTACAGGGTTTCCCTTTAGCACCTGGTGAGCTTGAACAGCCGACCTTGCAGTTCAAGCCGACTTTGAAGCCCAGTGCATTAACCCTCAGCAACACACAAAAAAAGAAAAGGTGGTGTGGCAGTGGGCACAAGGATGTGTGGCCGAACTGCAGAGGCATTGGTCACATGGGAAGCATGTCACTGACTGTGGGGGCAAGCGGGTATTCTACACATGAGTGATGAGTAAAGCCATGGCCATCAGGGAAACAACACAGCAGTATATGTGCAGCACACGATCCATAACAGCAAAGCTGCCAACCATGGAGATAGGGTAGAAAAGTTTTCTAATAGTTTCTTAATTGTTGTAGTTTAACCAGAGCACTGAGTAAACACTTGCTACAACGCACACACATAAGATACACTTAAATGTATACAGATAACACATGTAATCTTGTTTGTATTTTGCATATGAAATATAAACTTGCTTAATTATCTTTTCCAATGATATAACTGAGTCTATTAAAATTTTTACACTTCACATGCAGGGGACTGTAATCACTGCAATGAAACAAACTGATGTTCCCCCATGTAAACCATCACTCAATTCACAATAAAAACTTTAAAGGGAAAAAAAATTTTTTTTTCAACACTTCAGTCTGAGTCCCTTACTCTGGGTTTTACGGGATTATCCAAATACCTCAAATACTGAAAAATTCTACTGAATAAAAAAATTTTAAGAAATGTTTAGTTCTACAATCTATTTCAAATTTGTGAGTGAAACATGAAGGCTTTAAGATTATGATACTGAATTTTATTTTTATAATTCAAATAAAGAATGAAATCCAGTTGATAAAACTAGATACTAAGAAAAAATTCAGATTTGGTAAAAATAAATAATGGAAAAAATGTTCAAGTGGAGATATGTGGAAAGAAATTTTTGAAAATGAAAAGACTTTAAATTAAATTAGAACACATCAACTTTTGCTCTACCAATCACTTTAAACAGGTATTTAGATTACCTTAAAAAGACATTTAAAAAGACATGAGGTTCAGCAATCTTGACCTATTACTACAATATATATTAAAAAAACTTAAAATTTAGGGGGAAAAAAGAATACAGAAGCTATCTGTAAATGTATAGAAAGAGAAAAAAAGAACAAATAAAAAATTGTTTTAAATTTACTTTATATATGTTGTTGTTGTTAAGTGCCATCAAGTCGGTTCCGACCCATAGCGACCCTGTATATAACAACAACATATATAATGTTAACCGAGGAAGTGTCAAATATCTGTCATTAAAATCATTTCCATCATCTGATGCTCTGACAAATACAAATAAACACTGTAAAAATTGGGGTCATGTTTATTTTACGAATTCATCAGAAAGTATATTCTGAGTACCTATGAATGTACATATTTCTGTATTATGGAGAGGTCTTAACTCATTCATTGGAAAACAATAAATATAAGTAAGCAGATGACTGAAGAAAAGATAAGATCAGTGAAGGATGGAGAAAATTAGATGCCTATGTAACTGACTTAAGGAGTTAAGTAGGTAAAATTAACGAAAGGAAAAAGATATAAAAATGTTCTACTACTTCGTAATGCATTAAAAAAGATCAACCCTACTACTAGATAATCAAGTTTAACATATATTTCAAATAATCCCATCTGTTTTTCTAATTTGCTATGAGAATGGCATACTTAAATATTGTTGCATATACTTGCAAAAATGAACAAAGGCAAAATCTTAGAATCTCTGGTGGTCATTTTGGACCATGTTAATTTTGGTTTTTGGTTAAATAACAAAGAAATAGGATTATAGAACAGTTCAGCAATAAGCTTTTCATTAGAGTATGAAATCATGCCATGAGTTCCAAAAAAAGGGTTAGTTATATAAATTCGGGAAATAATCACTCATGCAAAAATCAGAAAATACCTGTACCGAGCCACCATGTCTGTCTGCTGCAAGGTGAGCTCTCAAATGGTGGGGATTTGCCTGCTGGGAGTCCCAAGCTGCCCTGTGGTCTGCCGACTGCCATTTATTTAAAGCATATGGCATGCATGGAGGAAGAAAAACCCAATACGTTAAACATCTCATCCTTATGATATATTAAAACAAACGTATAATAGGAAATTTAAAATACCCTTACTATTCTGAATCATAGATGTAGTTTGGTTAGCATAATGATGTGGAGGGATTACAGTAAAATCATTACAATTACATAATGAACCGCAATAAAAAAAAAAATATGCAGAACCACAGAATTTTATATGTGAAAGGATGTTGAGATCACAGACTCAACCCTCTAACTTTATAAAGTTAATGAAGAGCCTGGGAGGTACCTAAGAAAAAGAAAAAAATGATGAGTACACTAAAAACCCATCTACTCTATTTTTTGTTTTTTACAATAGAGATTCTCATTCTTTTTCTGATGAGGATCTACTTTTAACAAAGTAGGAGAGACTCACAGTCCTTAAATGGTTTACTTAGAAACTTAAGCGAAAAAAAAAAAAAAAAACCCTCTTGCTTAGTATTGTTAGAGATTGTGTGCATTATATGAGAAAATAAAAAACAGTTCAAGGATGTAACAAAACAACCAAATTAAAAAAATAAAGCAAAACAACAATCCTTCATACATAAAAATTCTTTTGAATCCTTGATCTCTTTTTATCTTGTTCAAATTAAAGAACTGCTTTCAAATAAATAGATTGATAATTATTGATGTTTTTAGATCCCTCAATAAATCTGCATGGTAGTAACCATGGTGCTGCAGGATAATCCACAGGACCTCAAGGTTAGTTTGAATCATAAGGTTGGCCGTTCAAACTCACCAGCTGCTCCTCAGAAACCCTATACAGGGTCGCTATGAGTAGGAACTGAATCAATGTCACTTAACAACAACAGCAGCAGCAGAAGTAAGAATGCTCAATAAATGTCAGTTTGTAGTTTCAGGAATGTGGAAAGCACTACCAGTAAGGACAGGGGAGAACACAATGTTTACATTCCTATTAAGTGTTTGGGCCCTTATGTGACACTGTAGGATAAGCACTGGAGTGACTGGTAACTGAAATGTCAGCTGTTCAAACCCAATAGTTGCTCTCAGAAACCCTATACAAGGTGGCCATGAGTCAGTACCGACTTGACGACATATAACAACATCATCATAACGAGTTTGGTTCTGTATTAATTGCCTTATGCGTGTGATTTATTTTTCAGATAAACAGTATCATCCCTGTTTTACTGAAGGGGACACTGAGGCATTGAGACATTAAACATTTCTCTAAGATCAAAGAGCTAGCAAGGAGTACAGCAAGAATTCAAACCTCTGGGTTGATGCTGTTTTTACTATACACCTGGCTCTTTACCACAATTGCAGATACTCTTCACTGCTATTTCCTTTCTTTCTTTCTTTGTTTTTTTCTCCCTTGAACCTATGTCTAGAAATTCTTACCACAAAGTGCCAAGTAATAAGACCCTATAACAAAGGATACTTCAAGGCTGCTGGGAACAAATCATAGGTTTAAGTCAGAGCTAGTTTGAAAATACCATGCAAATGATCTCTAGTCTTGTTGTTGTTAAGTGTCACCAAGCTGGTTCCAACTCACAGTGATACGGCATAGGGTTTTCGAGGAACAGCAGGTGAGTTTGAACCTCCAACCTTGCAGCTCAAACCAACCTTGCAGCTCAAAACGACCTTGCAAGCCAGTGCATTATCCTGCAGTGTTACACCAGGACTCTAATAATCTCTTGCCGTAGTGACTCTTAAGTTCGCAGTCAGCCATGGCTTCCACATAGTTCAACATTTTCCTTTTTTAGAACTGCTTAGAGATTCAAAGTTCCCTCGGACTCCTGACCAAGGGGCTACAACAGATCTATCTCAAGGTTCAAAGTGTGGGCTCATGTTGATCTGTTCCACTTGTAGAAGTAGGCAGTGGGCCTTTTTGCTAGATGAAAATTAGTGAAATACTACATGTCGCTGCTGTTGTTGTTAAATGTTGCTGATTCGGTTCCAATTCATAGCAGCCCTGTATAGGATTTCCGAGAAGTGGCTGGTGGGTTGAACTGCCAACCTTATGGTTCTCAGTCCAGTGCTGATCCTACAGAACCACAAAAAATAAACATTTGCTTTGCAATGATTCCTTGCAAGAATTCAAAAAGTGCTTTGGGGATAATACATATGGGATATCCAGTCTAGTGTTTCTACATTTTTCCTATTTGTGTTTCTGAAGGAACAGTTACAGCCTTATAGTACAGCTGGGAGGTTGGATAGCAGGCTGATATACACTACAGGAAGACCAACTACATATGTGGTCAAAATAACCCTTTGGGGAAGAAATGTTAAATTCAAGTACATACAATTAGTAATTATTTGGCACAAAGTTTCATATACTAAATTGTACAATGCAAAATTATATAATCAAAAGTATGGAGTTCTGGTGTGGCACTGCGGGATAAGCACTAGACCTCAAGGTTGGTTTGAACCACAGGGTTGGTGGTTCAAACTCAACAACAGCTCCTTGAAAACCCTATACAGGGTCACTATGAGTTGGAACTGAGTCGACAGCACTTAACAACAACAACATAGCATGAAGGGACTCCTGGTCTGGCTCTGTAGGATCAGTACAAGACTCGAACCACAAGGTCAGCAGTTTAAAATCACCAGCTGCTCCTAAGAAACCCTATTCAGGGTCACTATGAGTCGGAACCGACTTGACAACACTTAACAACAACAAATAGCATGACAAAATTTGTTTAAAGTATGTCATCAAAGTAATTATGATAGTCCAATAAAGTCTTTCCATTAAACCTCCATATTCATACCCAGAATTAAGCAGATTTATAGGTTAAACTGAAATAAATGAAATCAAATGAAATCTAGATAGGATAAAAGAATTAACGCTAATTTGAGACAAACACTTGGGCAACAGACAATATTTTGGGGTCATGAACTTCTTTAAGAAGACAGTAAAAAGAATGAACTCTCTCCTCAGAAAAAACATGTATGTGCATTCAACATTTTATACAATTTTAGGAACCCCTGGACTTCAACCATTGACTCTAAGTTAAGAATCCTTGATCTGGAGATATTACATTACAGACATTACCAAATCAAATAATTCAGTCATTTGAAAGAGTTGCCTTATTTTTTTATTGTAAACTATGAATTTTCAGAAAATTTAAGTGCTTAGTGAATGTTCAGGTAGTTAAGAACAGTTTTTTCAAGATGGTATAATACTGTAGAAGCAGCACTGGACTGCAAGGTTGGTTTGAACTGCAAGGTTGGTGGTTCAAACCAACCAGTCACTCCTTGGCAACCTATACAGGGTCACTATGAGTCGGAACTGACTCAAAAGCACATAACAACAAACAACAACAATCCTAAAATGAAGAACCACTAGAAAGGATATTCCATATATACCATTTACAAAAACTCTGAATTCTTATAAAAATTCATTGCAAAGCAAATGTTTGGTTTTTGTGGCACTGTAGTGTGTGTGTATATATATATTCTTGTAAGAATTCAAATTCTTGTAAGAATTCAAAAAGTGCTTTGGGGATAGTACATATGGAATATCCAGCCTATTGTTTCTTCATTTTTACCTATTTGTGTTTCTGAAGGAACAGCTGCAGCCTTATACTACAGCTGGGAGGTTAGACAGTAGGCTGATTTACACTATAAGAAACATACACACACACACACATATATATCCTATATGTACATAGAGAGAGGGATTATATATATGTGTGTGTGTGTATATACTAGCATAAAATAGTTAAATGCATCTTGAAGTTAAATAGCCATTTCATTTTGCTGTGGCTTTTTAAAAAGTGGTATGTTTTCCTTTGGTTTTCGCCTCTTGCTTTAACCCCCACTTAAACGCTGAGGGAATAAAAGTAGTAAAAGGAAACTGACAGTATACTTATCATCTCCAAAAAGCATTATGACTGAAACTTACTATGAGGACACTGTTTTAACTCAGGTATTAGCAAAAAATTTTATGCTAAAGATAGCTTCAATAAAGATTCTTTTTACAAAAAATAAAACGGTGAAAAAATATTGCTCAAAATTTTATCAGTTTTTTAATCTGCCCTGTAACCTTTCACTCAATTCACAACAAAAACTTTAAAAAAAAAGAAAAATTTTATCTGTTTTCCAGGAAACATGAACTCCTCAATCTTGATCAATCTTATCTCCTTCATCTCAATCTCTTTCCATCTATCTACTCTCTGCTTCAACCAAATTGAACTTCTTGCTATTTCTAAAACAAATTAAATTCTGTACTTTAATTTTATATTAAAGTCATATTTTATACTGTTTATAGTTGCCAAAATGAATTTATTTCTTAATGTGCCTTTAAAATATTCTGCTCATTCTTCAGGCTATCTGCTTATAGCTCCACATACATTCCCTGGTTCTCCAAAGTGCTTTATTAATTTTCATATTATATAGTTCTTTCTATTTTGTGATTTAGTTATCAATATAAGCATTATAGTAGTAACATCAACCACAACAGCTGAGATTTACTGAACCTTTGTTATGTACTAGGAATTAACATGAAGCTCTGAAAGATCAATTTACTCAGGGTCAAGTCACATCCAGATACATTTGATTTCAAAAATGAGTGAACTCTGATCTCTAACAATGCTCTTAGCCACTTATTAGAAAATTATTTTGTACTGTGTATTGCTTCTGCATTTCTGCAGTGTGTAAAACAGTTTTCCAATAGCAGAAACTTAATGCATAATTTATTAAACTCAACTAGACTATGGTTAGAACAATCAAGTGGTATTAGCATTCATTCTAACAGGATATTATAACAGCTTCTCCCTCCCCCCCTCCGCCACGTGTGGTGGTACTGTAGGATAAGCATTGGACTGTAAACCACAAAGTCAGCAGCTCAAACCCACCAGCTGCAACTCATAAATCCTATATAGGGTCACTATGAGTCAGAAAAGACTTGATGGCACTTAACAACAACAACAACAAATAGGATATCAGGAGTCCTGTTAACCATAGGTTGGTGGTTCAAATCCAGCAGTTGCTCTTTGGAAATCCTATACAGGGTCACTATGAGTCAGAACACACTCTATAGCTCTTAATAACAATAGGATACTGCAGACTGTTCAAAGTTTATATTAATTTATGTCACTAATTAGGAATTATGATTTAAAAGACACAGATTGATTATGGTGTATTACTGCTCTACTTGTAAAAATACTTTTCTTTAGACTATTAAATTGATAAAATAAGTAGAAATACATATACTGACAAAATTTTTTGTTTCAAACCTTCAATATATACACCTGTATAATCTACTGTATTAATTGAAAAATACAGGTATTCTAATTATTCAATATATTAACATGTGTATACACAGATATACATACATAGTAACATACAACGTTGTCATCTGTATATGGCTATAAAACATATTCATAAATTGTCAGAAAGTAATCCAGAAACAAATGAAGGAATTTCATATCTAAAAGGACAGCAAACCTGATTTTTGGATTGTTGCATCTTATCTCTGTGTTGATGTGCTTCTCTGTTTGATGAAAGAGCAGAATCTTGCTGAACTGCACCCACTGGAGTAGGCTACAATGTAATAATAACTAGTATTAATACATTCAATTGCAAAAATCTCATTTAAAATCATCTCACTACTTAAAGGGCAAAAATATAAGACATGGTTGAATAACTGAAAACCTTAAGAAAAGATAATATACTGTTAAATATTTTAAGAAAAATAATATTACTTTAAAATAAAAAAATACACTAGGAATATTGCTATTGTCAACATTTTTATTCAAAGAAGCAGCTCATGTCTTGGGTTTTCTGGGTGTGTTTTTTCTTCAAATAACTCAAAACCTAATAAAACCTAACACAAATAAATTGAAGTTCATCTAGATTTACATCATAAATACCAAATATATTCAAAATCACTTTAGGTTTAAAAATATACATAAAATTAATGAATAAATCAACTGCTCAAAAACACATGAGTCTGAGAGTTTGGTCATTCCAAATATGAGTAAAAATTCACTAAAACTAAGCCACAATTTAAGGAAATTTTATATCTTTATTTAAAAGTAAATATTCAGTTTCTAATCATGTCTTCAAAGAAAAAAGTTCATGATATTTATTGAAATAATGAGCACTCATCTTATAATTATGACAATTTTTCTAAAACCTGTGAAAATTGAGTACCTTTAGAAAAATTTAAACATACTCAAATTTATAGGCACTGGATTACAAATTGCAAAGACAGTAGTTCAAAACCACCAACTGTTATGTGGAAGAAAGAACTAAACCAAGGATGAAAAGTTCAAAATAACTCCTATTCTAAAACACAGAGAGTCCATACATAGAGTTTTAATAAAATTCAAAGAATTATTTTAGCATTGTGCTACCTTAAGAAATGTCCATACATGGGAAATACCATTGATCCTTTTAGAAAGTATTAATTTTCAATTCTTTTCAAATGAAGGATTTGTACTAATAAAAAGATGAATACAATATAAGTAATATTTTATTATATAGCATAATACTCACCAACTGTTTACCGATCCAGTCATATTCATAATCAAACATATATCCTTTTCGATCAAATAAGTCAGTAAAAAGCTTTCTTAAGTAGTCATAGTCTGGTTTTTCAAAAAAATCTAACCTTCTTACATAACGAAGATAAGTTGCCATTTCTTCTATAAGGAAAATTAAAATTATTCTAATCATAATTTTCTACGTTTCTTGTTAACAAAAACATTTTAAATGTCTACAAGCAAGTGGTTACTACAAAAGCTGAAAAATTAACAAAATTCTACTGAAATTCAAAATTTCAGTATTAATGAATCAAAAAGGATAGAAGACAGGAAAGACCATAGTGACAAAAAAATAAAAGGTTTAGTTTAAAGGTCATTGTTTTTACTTTATTTCATCTAAAAAGATTAAAATTTTATTTTACATAATTTTTTATTCTTTGATAGTATTAAGAGGCTGAATTAACAACTTAATAACTAAATAGTAACAAAAACATTAAAATTAAATAAGGGTACTTCAATAATTCAAAATGTTTCATAATTTAAACAGTAATTTTCTTTGTATTAGTTTTTTATTTAAAGGTTATTATCAATGAATAATATGAGCACATATGATACTCTGCTAAGGATATTATTATTACAATAATATTACCAGCACTGCATAGGAGACCCAGTAAATATCAAATCAAAGTGAGACAGGAACTCAGTTTTCTATCTTAAAGTCCAGTTCTCTTTCCACTTAATATAGACACATAAAATACTATGTATTGTAATTACTGGAAAAACAATTATTATTATTTGGTTGATTTAGAACTTTTACTAAGTAAAATTTTGTTAACTTTGGTAGTCATCATCTACTTGAAAATGAAATTATTTTCAACCTATACCCTGGTGATGCTTTAGGATAAGCACTGGACTGCTATTGGCAGTTCAAATCCACCAACCAGTCTGCAGGAGAAAGAAGAGGCTTTCTACTCCTGTAACGATTTACAATCTAAGAAACCCTATACAGGGCACTATAAGTTGAAATCAACTCAAAGGGAGTGAGTTTCGTGAGTTTATACCAAGACAAAGAGGCAGTCATTCAAACAGAAAAAGAGGCTACTGCATGGTTCAACATCAGGAGACATGTATCAGAGCCATATTCTTTCATCATAATTATTCAATCTGTATGCTGAAGAAGTGATCTGAGAAGCTGAACTACATGAAGATTGCAAAATCAGGATTAGAGGAAAACTCATTAACAACCTGAGGTACGCAGATGACATTCCCTAGCTTGCTCAAAGAGAAAAAGTCTTGGAAGTATTTACTAATGCAAATCAAAGTTTACAGCTTTCACTATGGAATAAACCTCAACAGAAAACAAAAATCGTCACAAATGAACTAATAAACATCATGATAAACAGAGAAAAGCCATCATGGAATTCCTTTATTTGGATCTAAAATTAATGTCCATGGAAGCAACAGTGAAGACATCAAACAATGAAGTGCAATAGGCAAATCTGCTGCATGAGACCTCTTTTAAAAAGTGTTAAAAAGCAAGATGTCAGTTTGGGGACTAAGGTGTGCCTGACTCAAGTCATGCTATTTTCAGTCTCCTCACTTGTATGTGAAAGCTGGGCGAAGAATAAGGAAAATCACAGAAGAATCGATGTATATGAATTATGGTGTTGGTGACGAATACTGAATGTAGCAAGCACTGTCAGAAGAACAAATCTGTCATACACAAAGTACAGCCAAAATGCTCTTAGAAGCAACAATAGGGAGACTTCATCTCACAAACTTTGCTCATGTTATCTGGATGGACCACTTCCTGGAGAAGAACACCATGCTTGGAAAAGTAAAGGGTCAGAGGAAAACCTTCAATGACATGAACTGACACAGAGGCTACTACAATGGACTCAAACATAGCAATGGTTGTGAGGATGACATTAAGACTAGGCAGTGTTTCATTCTCTTATGCATATCATCACTTTGAGTCCGAATTGACTTGACAGTACTTAATAAATGTCCTGAGAGAAAATATAAATTCAGTTGTCATTGGTCAATATGTAAAAAAAATTTCTTCTATTGCCATTATAAATCAGATGCACAAATTGCCCGTGCAGTCTATGAATAAAATAATGGGCATTTCTTAAATCAAATTTTGAGCTAATTTTTTTTTTTTTAAGCATGGAAAAAAAATACTCATAAACATAAGCAAAGAAAATGAACATTTCTGGGTTCCAGTGGATAAGCACATGTATCAAATATGGCATTATTCATTACCTGGAAAATTCTCACATAACACTTCTATTGGTGTGGCTCTTTTTGTATCTCCAATTTTCTGATACCTCTCTTTTAATGTGTCAGCCTAAAACAGTGGGGGGGAAAAATCTTTAGAAGGTAATAATTTTTTTAAGTATTTAGTTGGAAGCAAGGACCTTATTACTAGCACTTCATAAAATTCAGTAAGGAAAAACAAAACTTACCTTTAAACCTTGCCAAGGAAGACTGCCTCTGAGAAAATACATGAACATATGACCTAAAGCTTCTAAATCATCTCTTCTACTTTGTTCTGAAATATAAGAGAAGCATACATAAATTTCACTTCCTTTTACCAGTTAAAGATGCAAGATTAGAAAACAGACTTTCATTATGTACACATGAATTCCTAAAATTTAATACGCAAACACAAAACAGATTTAGTGCCTAAAAATGACAAAAATCATGCCTAGTTAAACTATAGTATTCTTACTCTGTAATTATTAAACATTTTTTATATACGCCATTATGAGTACTTAGATATTGGCAGATGTATCTCCCTATATAGACATTGATGGAAATATATGCAAGAAAAAACAAAAAAAGGGTTACATGGTCAGAGAGTCACTGTGTACTATACAAATCTCTCTTAAAGACTCACAACATAACATATTAAAGAGTCTACAAATTCCCAGGGTTTATAGTGCTTTAAGTTCATTTCACCTTATTTTTTTTCTAAAGTTAAGTGAGAACAAACCCTCCATCTTACATATTCTCCATTAACATTACACAAAATGAGTATTTTGTGTAATATGCTTTAAGAAATTTATCTCAACATTAATAATCTGTCCACTACCCCAAATACGCTGATAGAGCATACTGCCCACTTTCGACGGGCCAATTTTGTTTTAGAAATGAGATGTTGTATAGGGATAATAATCACAACCTAAGGCTCAGGGAGATACTTATAAATATTTGGTGAAATACAAATATTTTTGGCATTGTAGTTAAATATTTAAAGTTATTTATGTATTTTAAATTAATAAAAAAGCACTGACTAGCAATAAAAGAAAAAATTCTTCAATAAGAGGATATTCATGTGGAAGAAATTTTACCTAACTCAATAGTTAATCTTCATACTATCTGAGTAAAACTAAATGCTTTCCTAAAAGCAAACTTCAAAGCATGGATCTCATCTGGGGTAAAGGAGTCAGAAAAGGTTCTCAATTCTACATGTACTCTCATAATATTCTATACTTGCCTTTATACCACTTCCAGCAATTTATGTAATATATAATACTAGAAATCTTTTTTTCTGTAAACATAAAAAATTAGGTACTATCATGCCCATCAAATTGTTACTAATGGACACAGAATTGGAAAAATACAGGTGGGAGTTAAACTTCTCCTTTGCATACTAAAAAATGTGGTAAAATAGGGATTTTCCTTTACTTCTAGAACTTTTTGTTTTAAGAACGTAAAAGGTGCTCTGGTAGCGTGGTGGTTACAAATTGAGCTGTGAACCACAAGGTTAGCAGTTCAAAACTACCAGCTGCTGCGAGGGAGAAAGATGAGTCTTTCTGCTCCCATAAAGATTTACAGCCTTGGAAACCCTGTACAGGGTCGCTATGAGTCGGAAACGACTCCATGGCACATAACAACAACAACAAAACTGAAAACCAAACCATTACCATGGAGTCAGTTCTGACTCACAGAAACCCTGCATAAAATTTCTAAGACTGCAAACATTTACAGGAACAGACAGCCTTCATCTTTCTCCAGTGGACGTAAACCACTGACCTTGCAGTTAGCAACCCAATACCTAGCCCACAGTGCCACCAAGCGTATGTTATGAAACATAACAACATTTTCAATAATAAGTTGATTAAAAGTAGCTTTTAAATTCAAAGTGTTAAAAATAAGAAGTTATGCAAAAGAACACTATTTCTGAATTCCAAATGAGAATCAGAATCATGTCTGAAACTTCAAAAAATTTCAGATGAGCAGGCCTAGTGCTTGAGATTACGACTACTTGAGAAAAAAGTAAGATGGTGTACATTTTAGAAAGCTTAGCAGTTGATTCTGAAGTACTGGCAGATTAGATACCAACTGAGAAAGAAACATTCTTTATTGAAGCATAATTTACATATAATAAAATATACTCATGTGGGGGTATAATTTGGTAAATTCTAACAACATAAATCATTGGAATATTACGACCATAAACAAGACCCATTTCTAACACTCCAAAAGCTTCCCATTTTGCCTTTGTCATCTACTTTCTCCCTACATCTACCACTTCAAGATACCTAATGACTTCAGGCAGCCACTGCTTTTAGTCACTATACCTAAAATTTGATTTTTTTACAGAGCTATATATGAGTGGAATCATACAGTATAAATTCATGAATCTAGATTCTTTCACTTAGCACAAAGTTAAGTTTCATCCTTATTTTTGCATGCAACACATGTTCGTTACCTTTTACTGCTGAGTAAAACTGTTGTTAAGTTGTTGGTAGGTGCCATCAAGTCAGTTCTGACTCATAGCAACCTTATCCACGCACAGAATACTCTTCAATCCTATGCCATTCCCAACAATTGGTATATCTTACACTAGTTGTTGCTGTCATGTGTCAATCCATCTCATTGGGGGTCTTCCTCTTTTTCACTGACCCTCCACTTTACCAAGCATGATGTCCTTCTCCAAGGATTGGCCCTTCCTGAAAATACATCCAAAGTTTGGGGGACAAACTCTCACCATCCTGGATTCTAAGGAGGATTCTGATTGCACTTCCTCCAAGGATGATTTTTTGGTTCTTCTGGTACCCCATCATACTCTTAGTATTCTTCTCCAACACATGAATTCAAATGCATCAATTCTTCTAAGGTCTTCCTTATTCGTTTCCCAACCTTCGCATGCATACGTAGTTGTTGCGGTAAAGTGCCTTCAAGTTGGTTCCCATTCATAGTCAGAAGTTCTCCGTGGAAGCCATACTTTGTCTCTCGTACTTTGGACCAGGAAAGACCAATCACCGGAGAAGGACATCATGTTTGGTAAAGTAGGAGGGTCAGATAAAAAGAGGAAGACCCCCCAAAGAGATGGATTTGTACAATGGTGGCAGTGATGGGCTCAGGCATAGCAATGATTGGAACGTTGGCCTAGGACTGGGCAGTGTTTCGTTCTGTTGTGTGTCTAGGGTCACTATGAGTCGGTACCAATTTGATGGCATCTATGAACAACAAAATTGTAAATTAGTTAGGTGTGTACTACTCATCAAATAAGAAAGCAGAAACATTGCCTTTGTGAACTATGAAATGCCAATGGGCTAAATAGTCCCCTGAGGTTTTTTTAGCTTTCACAAATTACTTTTTTTTTTTTTAAATAATGCACATAATCTGCCAAATAAATTCTCTCTGTATTAATAGTGTCCATACAATCCCAAATCAGAAGGAGTAATGAGTTACGAGCTAGGCTGCTAACTGAAAGGTCAGCAGTTGGAATCTACCAGCTGCTCTTCAGCAGAGAGATGAGGCTTTCTGCTCCTGTTAAGAATTATAGCATAAGAAACTCTATACAAGGTTGCTACTAGTCAGAGCCTACTTGGTGTCACACAACCACCACCACTACCACTACCAATCTACAGAGTCCTGGAGTGGGGCTTCAGGATAAACACTGGACTGCTAGTCACAAGACTGTCAGCTCAAACTCATCAGCCACTCCTTGGAAACCTTCTACAGGGTCACTATAAGTTGGAACCAACCTGACGGCATCTAATAACAACAACTCTCAATTTCAGGAAGTGCAGTGGCTCTGTAGGACAGCACTGGAAAGTGAACAAGGTCAGCGGTTCAAGCCCACCAGTCGGTCCTTGGGAGCAAGATAAGGCTTTCTGCTCCTTTAAAGACATACATCCTCGGAAACCCTATATAAGTTCACTATGACATCTTTAACCATTACTTTCTCTGGCTTAGGAATCCACTATTTCTCAGTTTTAATGTAGCGATTGAGAGTTGTTACTTTGCCATTTCTACAAATAGACTGTTCTCACATTTACCACTATTCACAGAAAGAACATTAACATAATAAGGAAGTTGTGATTTCATGTCTCACGGTAAAATACTGGTGAATCTTTATAAAATGTTATGAAATATTTCATTCAGGACTACCGAAAACAAAATTTTTTCATAACAGTGTAGTGTTGATCTTCCTCAAATACTGAACACTGATCAGGGTTTAGATTGAACCACTGCAAATACAATCTAAAACAAGACAGACTGCTAAGCGTAGTGGCACAACACGTATGTTCTATCCTACGCATCACCTGAGAAGCTGGTTTATATAAAGTAAAACGTGGCAACAGGCTTGGAATAAGATTCATGAACAATCTGCGACATGTAGATAACACAACCTTGTTTGATGAAAGTGAAGAGGACTTAAAATATTTATCGATGAAAATCAAAGACAGTAGTATTTAGTATGGATTGCATCTCAAAGTAAAGAAAACAAAAATCATCACAATTGGACCAATAAAAAACATCATGATAATGGAGAAACGAATGAAATTTCAGACTTCATTTTTCTTAGATCCACAATCAACACTTCTAGAGGCAACACTCAAGAAATCAAATGATGTATATTAGGCAAATCTGCTACACAAAACCTCTTTAAAGGGTTCAAGAGCCAAGAGCAGTAAAATGAAATTAGAAATCAACAATAATAATATAATTAGAGATTCCTAACATATTTGGACATCAAACCACTCATTTTAATATAACTGATAGCTCATAAATAAAAGCCACAAGGGAAAATAAAAGATATTTCAAATGAAATTCTAATCAAACTATAATTTATCAAAATTTACGGGCTAAAGCTAGCAGTGCCATATATATATGCTCTAAAATGGGTTTGTTTAAAATGTGTATATTGAAAGAGTAAGAGTAATAATCATTGATCAAATGCTCTAAATGTTAAATTCAGATGATCTAAAAAGTTAGAAAACAAGCAAAGAAAACCCAAAGTAAGTAAAAAGAAGGATAGAATGTGTAGAAATCAATAAAATGGCAAATAAGAAAAAAACTAAATCAAAAAAGCCCAAATTTAGTTTTCTTAAAAGACTGATATACTTGATAAATTCCAAAAGACTGATTAGTAACAGAAAAAATCCAATGAAAAAGAATGGGGGTGGGGGTGGGTGGGGGAAGGAGCAAGGAAGCAAGGGAGGAAGGAAAGAAGGATGGAAGGGATAGATAAGAGATTAAGGAGGAGGGAAAAAAAACCCCAAAACAAAAATTGCCAATATCAGGAATGAAAAAGAGGGGAAAAAAATCTTACAAATATTAAAACGGCAATCAATCCAAATAGCAATTCAAGAGAACTACAACAGGAAAAGAAAAACCTTAAAAAATAGTAAGTTGAAAAGTTTAACTATCTGACTACAAATTTACATTGACTTTACATTATATTATATCCTATATACGAAAGTCAAATAATTGTAAAACTAATTTTTTAAAAAATTCATTCATAATAGGATCAAAAGTGTAACGTTTCTTAAAATTTTTAAGCAAAAAATACATCTAAGCATTGATTGTGATTCAAGCAAAATGAAGTCTTTGATAACTTCAATGCTTTTTCCATGTGTCTGAGGATTTTCATTTTCTTTACACTGACGTGGAATCCATACTAAATGCTGCAATCTTTGTTATTCATCAGTATTTCAGTCATTCTTCGATTCTAGCAAGCAAGGTTTTATCACCTGCATATCATAAAATGTTAATGAGTCTTCCTCCAATCCTGATGCCACGTTCTTCTTTATATAATCTAGCTTCTCAGATTATTTATTCAACACACAGATTGAATAAATATGATGAAAGGATCCAACCCTGGTACACATCTTTCTTGATTTTAAATCATTCAGTATTCCTTTGTTCTGTTTGAACAACTGTCTCTTGGTCTGTGTACCTGTTCCTCAGGAGCACAATTAAGTGCTCTGTAATACTTATTCATCACAGTGCTATACATAGTTTGTAATGATCCACACAGTCGAAAGTTTTGCAATAGTCAATAAAGAACAAGAAAACGTTTTTCTGGTATTCTCTGTTTCAGCCACGATCTACCTGACATCAACAATGATATTCCTAGTTCTACATCTCCTCCTCAACCTGGTTTGAATTTCTGGCAGTTATGTGCTGACATACTATTGTAACTGTTCTTGAACCTAGCATTACTTGTTTGTGGTATGACTGATATTGTTTGATGATTTCCACATTCCGTTGGGTGACTTCTGTTTGGAATAGGTACAAACATGGATCTCTTTAACTGGTTGGCAGGTAGCTATCTTCCAAATTTGTTGGCAGACATGATTGAATGGCTCCAGTCAATTCCATTAATTCCTGAAGCCTTTTTTTCAGCAATGTTTTCAATGCAGTTTGGACTTCTTCCTTCAGTACCAGCGGTTCTTGATCCTATGTTACCTCTTGAAATGGTTGAACACTGACCATCTCATTTTGGTACATTACTCCATGTATACCTTCTGTATACTTTTGATGCTTTCTACAGCATCCAATATTTTTCCCATAGCATCCTTCAATATTGCAATTCAAGACTTGAATTTTTTCTTCAGTTCTTTCATTTTGAGAAATGCCAAATGTGTTATTCCCCTTTGGTTTTCTGACTCTAAGTCTTTGTACATTTCATTTTAATACTTTATTTTGTCTTCTGGAGTTATCCTCTGAAATTTTCTTTCACTAAATCATTTCTTCCAACCACTTTAGCTTCTCTAAGTTCAAGAGCAACTTTCATAGTCTCTTTTGACATCCATTTTGTTTTTTTCCTGTCCTTTGAATGACCTTTTATTTTTTTCATATACGCATTTAATGTCATCCCACACTTTTATTCATAAGGTTTTCAGTAGCTAACCAATCATAAGTGATCCACCTCTCCTTCTTCCTAGTCTGTGTTACTTTGGTAGTTCTGCTAAAACCACACCACTATGGCTGATCCTGCTGGTGTTTATAGTACTGGTGCCATAGCTTCTAGCATTACATCAATAGACACCGTCACAGTAAAATAAACTGGCAACAAATGGGGGCCCCTCTCTCCCATCCCAGTTTAACTGATCTCCAGAGAACTTTCTACCTTCTCAGATCTTTGACCACCTGCCATTTAACCCATCTCACCCCTCATTAAACTATAAGTCCCACAAGGGCAAGAAATTGTGTGTGGTTGTTTCACAGCTGTATCCCTAGTGCTAGCAGCGTATGGGACACAAGCAAAAATAAATAAATAAATAAATAAATAAATAAATA